CTGTGTTGTAACATCGTATAACAAGTGCCCCGTGTGGAAGGGTGGCCTTGCAGTCATTCCAGAAAGAAGTAGTCATCAAGAACCTACTATGTGCCAGGCATTGTGCCAGGCCCTGGGACACCAAGAAATAAAACCATCACATGGTCCCTGGGCTCACTGAGCTTCTCAGGGGAGGCAGGCACAAGTAAACAACCAACAACAAATCATTACAAATTGGGCTAAGTGCTCTGAAGACAAGAAAGTGTAATTAGCCTATGCTTACCTCTCCCTGGCCCCAGAGGCCAGCCCTTATTAGAGAATGCCCACACCTGCCTGACCTCCCCAGCACACTGCTTGGCTAAAGACCTTGGATCATTCTGGAAACCACTGAGTACCTGGCATAACCAGGGGATTGACCACAGAGGAATACTTGTTGAATCAAACCAGAGGGGGAAAAAAGTTTAATTTAAAAAAAATTCACACCATCCGGCACAACCTAATTTTACAAGCGACTGAGGCCCAGAAAGTCTAAGCATTTGGCCCCAAACCACACAGCTAGGGAGAAGCAGAGCCCAGATCAGAAACCAGCTCTGCCCCCATCCCCTGCTGCCCTCTGATCTATCCTGACCCAGTTCACAGCCACCAGGGCCTGGCAGCCCGCTGGCCCATCTCAAATGCCTTCTATGCGTATCAGCCCTGGTGGATAGAGTTGTCTGCGGTGATGGAGATGTTCCCTATCTGTGAGGCCCAACATGGACATAGGACATCACTCGGCAGGTTCGAGGAAATGGGGCCTATTTGGAGGGGGTGGGAATGGGCAGAGGCTACAGAGGGCAGGAGGATGTGAGGAGATGACATTCAAAGAAGAGGGGAAGCAGGCGCAAAGGGTCTTATTTGACATTCCAAGGAACCTTCTAGATCCTTATCCACAGAGAGCCACTGAAGGGCTTTGTGCCAAGTGATGAGATGCCTGCACTGTGGCGTTCCTGGGAGAACTGCTGCTCCTCTGAGCTCCTAGCGCCTCTGACACCCCGGTCCCACTGGCTCCCGTCATCATCACTGTCCTACACAGACAGTTTGCCTGAAACAACCTTCCTTCCCCTTCCTGGACAAGTCTTCCACTTCCTTCAAGCCTTTGCTCACTGCACCAAACACCTTCGCCCAGGTCAGTGCTTCTCCCATGTCTCCACAGCCTGCCTGGCACATGGAAGGAGCTTCATAGACACTGTTTTGGGGTGGTTTTGTTTTTTATTTATTTATTTATTTTTGGCCGTGCTGGGAGCATAGAGTCTTAACCACTGGACCACCAGACACCATCTTAATGTCTCCATCCTTGCTGTTAGTCCCTCTTTCTTGGCCTCGGTCCTTCCCAGAATGTTCACAACTCCCTAGTCTCCAGTTCTGGGGCCTTCGGAAATTCTTTTCAGCCAGCATGGGTTGCTCAAACAGAGAAGGCACTGCCCCAGGTGAGGGCATAGGTGTGGGTGTGCATTTTCAAGAAAGGAGGAGGGGTGCAGGAGCCTGTGCAGGTTCCTCTGGGAAGCTTCCTGGAGGACTGTCCCAGCCTTACCACCATGTGCTGGAGTGAGGCTGAGTCCCTTGCCTGGAGTCACTGTCTGTCTCCCCAGGAAACACATCCTGCTCCAGAGCCCCAGCCAGGCTGGGATGTGCTCATTGGAATATTCATCCAGCAACTATGTATTGCTGTCCTGCATTATCCCAGGCGTGCCTGCTCCACAGGCCAGGCCTTGGGCCAAATGGGCAAAGGGCACAGACAAGGCCCTGAAACTATGACATAGTGATGCCATTCCTACAAGACCATCCAGCTGGGTTGTGGGGCCAGGGTTCTTCTCCTCCCCCAGGGCTGAGAGCTGGAGGAGCCTGGGACCAGGACTCTCCCAGAGGACAGGGAGACAGGGAGGCAAGAAAGAAGAGGTGGAAGGAAGCGAGCAGTAGATACATCAGCAGTTGGGAGGCACTGACTTGGAGAGAGAAATAGTAGGCAAGAGGAAGCAGAGAAAATAAGAAAGCTCCCCCTTGATTCTTTGAGGACCAATTTCAGGAGATCCAGCCTCCCCCATTCTTACCTCTGGCCGGCTCTTTTCCCTCTTCCTTCTTCTCTCTGCCCCCTGGATGGTCAGAATTGCCTGCTGTTGCCAGTTACAGGGGACCGGAACAAAGGAGGTAGACTTGAGGTGGAAGGTGGAGAATGGAGATTTCTGTACCTGGACCATGTAAAGATCAACCAGGACAGGGCCCCAGAACCCCAAAGGGGCAAAAAGATGCTGTCTTCAGCAGGGTCACCCAAGCTCATACCCCACCAGAAGCCCCAAGCTGGTTTGTCTATGAGTACATCCAGGAATGGTTGGGAGACTGTCCAGGTATCCAGACATCCCCAGAGAGACTAAAAGTCTCACCCACCCTCCATCTTCCCTCTCCCAACTCCTGCCAGGCCTCCTGCTCCCTGGGGGCCTGAAGACCTAGGAAGTTTGTGCTTCATATCAAGGCCAGAAGAGGGTCATGTCAGGTTCTCAGTGAGGGTGGAGAGGCAGAGGCCTGTACAGTGGGCCCCAAGGATGCTAACTCAGGAGTGGAGGGAGGCATGGGTGAAGCTAGGGTAGGCAAGGAGAAGGGGAGGAAATGGGGCTGGGAGCTTCCATGGAGTTACATTTGGGGCGCTTTTGCTGCTCTTCCTGTCCAGCAGCCAGGGCTGTGACAGCCAGACACCTCTGTGACTGCACCTGAGGGAGGCTGCTGGGTCAGAGAGGCCACGGCAGGTGGGACCACAGCCTGTTTCCTACCCATAGCATCCTGGGTGAGTGTGCCTTCCATGGCTCCAAGAAGCCAGGCCACCCACCAAGCAGGTGCCCAGTGTTTGGACCCCAGAGACTGTCCTGCAAGGCCAGCCTTAAAGCCACGGACTAGGCAATTAACCATGACTTGTCAAAACACTTGGAGTAGCAGATTTGAGTTATCCAAAGGTGCTCTGGAGAATCGAGCATCCAGCTTAAACACAGGAGATGGAATCAAGCCATCGATGGTAAGAAGATATCTTTTTTTTCTGTCCCACTGTCCTTTCCAGGAGCCACCCGGCTTAGAGGCTAAGATAAGAGGAAGGGCCCATAACTCCAATTGCCTGCATTCAAATCTATTACTTATAAATTGCAGGAGACACTGGAGACGCAGTTTTGATCCTTCAGTCGGGAAGACTCCCTGGAGAAGGAAATGGCAACCCACTCCAGTATTCTTGCCTGAAAAATTCCATGGACGGAGGAGCCTGGAGAGCTACAGTCCAAAGGTTGCAAAGAGTCAGACACAACTGAGCATGCACACAAACAAACAAAAGATCAGGCTGTTAACCTCTCCGAGCCTCAGTTTCCTCCTCTGCAAATCAGGGCTGATGAAAATTAAAGCTTCGACAAAAGATGGGTGTCATGAGGACATGGGAGCTAATCCATGTACTGGGGGCACACCCGACCTGTCTACTGCTGTTTTGGCACCACAGAGCCCATATGCCTTTGTCTGCCTTCCCCACTGCCTGCAGAGAACTCAGAGGTGGCCAGGTGGGGGCAGGTAGGGTGCTGAATTCAACCACATACCATTCAGATACCAGGTCAAGGAGGCTGGAGAGACCATGCATATGAGTGCTGAATGGGGGGAGGGCTAGCATGTCTCAGGGATGGGGGCACCAGACACCCCTGCAGTGACCCCATCACCCAAAAGTGTCTCAGCAGCCCACCCCCAGCATCAGAGCCCAGAACCCAGTCTAGGGATAGACTCGTGGCTTCAGGACAGATTCTTGTGTCTCAGTGAGCCAGAAATGCCCACTGTTCGGGGCAGAGCTCTGGCCTGGGAGACAGGGGGCCTGGACAGGGCAGTGTGACCCAGGCAGGAGCTCCCATCTCCAGCCTCTCTCCCTCAGTCCCAGAGGGGACTGAGATCTCCCCACCCCTGAATACCAGAGTCTCTCCCAGACACGCTCCTCTCTCTTCTGTAGCATCACCACCCAAGCTGGTGTGCCAGGTCTAGGGAGGGCACACAGAGCCATCCAGCCAGGCCAAGATCATCCAGGAACATCAGGGCAGGGAGGAAAGAAGAGAGAGGCTCCAGAGAAATGGCAACTCCTTTGAAGTGGAAGAGTGGAGCCTCCGGAAGTGCAGGAAGGTGGAAAGGAATGCCCTGGCCCCAGCTGACCCCCCTGCCACCCTATCAGAGGCTCTGGGGGAGCAAATCAGAGTCTGTGCTATTTACACTTCACATTTAAGATGAAACCAGGATGGAGAAAGGAGAAGAGGAGCCAGATGAATGGGAAGGAGGGGAGGGAGGAGACCGAGTCACCTTCTCACAGCCCTGGGAACAGAGCTGCACTTGACCAAGGCCCCCTGCCCNCACCTTCTCACAGCCCTGGGAACAGAGCTGCACTTGACCAAGGCCCCCTGCCCTCCAGGCTCAGCTCCCAGAAGGTGGGCTCGGGTCTCAGCCACCATCCACAGAGGGCTGGGTGCCCACCCTCTCCCAGGTTCTCTGCATGTACTATCTCCCGTGGGGTTAGTATATTCACGCCCATTTAACAAAGAAGGACAGAAGTCAAGGAGCCTGCTGAAGGCCACGCCAGCGGCAAGTGCTGAGTCTCAAACCAAGTCTCACTCATCCAAAGACAACTGCTCTAGACCGTGTATTTCCTCTCCAGCCCCGGAGACAGGGGGATGCACATAATAGGTGATTTATAAATAATAGATCAAAGGCAGGAAGAAGGGAGAGCTGGGGGAAGAAAGAAGAGAGGAGAAGTCAGGGAGACTCTTAAACACAGATAGAAAATAAACAGTCAAGGTGCTATTTTCCAATGCCAGGCTGGCACTGTGCCCAGGATGGCTGCCCTGCACTTGGGAGCCCAGGGACTGCGCTTGCCTCATCTTTTCCAGAGGTATGTAAGCCTAGATACGTCAGCCTTCAGGTATGCAGTGAGGTCTGCGGTGAGAGGCACTGCTCTCGCCCTCTCTCTCTCTCGCCTCTCTTTCTTCTTCCTTGTTGAATCTGTCCTTCCTCTGGCTACCTCCCCACCCCCAGCCAGCCAGCCAGCCCAGCCCAGCCCATTTCCCCTTCCCCTGGAGCCAGGCCAGGCTTGGTTGGGAGACCAATGACAATGAACAGCACCCTCAGCCTGGTAGATTCCTGCCCGGGGAGGAGATGGGTACATGGTGCCGGGGGGAGGGGCGGGAGCCGCATCATCTAACAGGTTGGTCTGGCTGGGAGGGGAGGCGTCCCGCCCTCGTGGAGCTAATGAGCACTGTGCGACAGGTGTCTGCTCCTCAGTCCCCAGCCTGCCCTGCCTGCGACGGGAGCAAGCCGCCGCCACCCCGCAAAGGCTCGCTCGCCGGTCCCTGCGCCCTGCGCGCTCCGGGGCCCGGGGGCGGCGATGGCCTGCCGCTCCTGCGTCGTTGGCTTCAGCAGCCTGAGCAGCTGTGAGGTGACCCCAGCGGGCAGCCCCCGGCCTGCGACCTCCGGATGGAGCAGCTGCGGGGCCCCCGGGCCGAGCTTCAGCTCCCACAGCCTCACAGGCTGCTGGACAGCCGGCACCGTCCCCAAGGTGACCGTGAACCCCAGCCTGCTGGTTCCCCTGGATCTCAAGGTGGACCCAGCCATCCAGCAGCAGAAGAATAGCGAGAAGGAGGAAATGAAGGTCCTCAACGATAAATTCGCCTCCCTGATTGGCAAGGTGAGCAGAAGTTGGGGGAGGTGTCCCCAAACTAAGGCCAGTCGGGCTGGGTCAGGTGGCTGACCTCTGTAATTCCCCCCAGCATCATGCCCCACCCCCGCCCCCAGCCCAGCCAATGGGAAGCCAGCATTGCCAACTTCGCGGGCTAGCTTTGAGTAGAGAGAAGGAAAAGGGGGAAGTCCCTAGCCATCCTGACTTCGGGGAGCAAAGGAAGTCAGGATGGCCTGCCTCTGAGGGGTGTCTGGATAATAACGTGCTGCATGGCCTGGGGTCACCCTCCCCGCAGGCAGGGGCTAGGGAGGGGCTCTGAGTGTGACCAAGAGGAGGCCCCCTCGTGGGAACAGCTGATAGAGGCATGGGCTGCAGTCAGACTCCACAGTGGATGGACAGGGCTCACCTTCCTGTCCAGGCCCTTGGATCTGTTCAGCTTCCCAGGGTCAGAAGTGCTGACATGGGCAAGGGGGCGTGTGGGGCAGCCAGAAGGAAGCTGAGCAGGATGGGGTACACCTGTGGTTCCTCAGGAGCTAGGAATGTGGGGGATAGGTGCTGCTAGTCTGAAACAAGTGGCCAGCCAGTCTTCCATGCCCCGACCAGAGCAGAGTGACTGAGTCCCTCACACCTCACTTCCTGGACCCACTGCCATGGCCAGCATTCTGATCTGGGCACTGGTGTCAAGCTCTGGCCCAGGGCAGGGGCTTCAAGAGCTCTGAGGAAGTCCTGTCCACCTCCCAAACCTGCTCCTCACTCACCTCCTCCAAGAAACCTCCCATGACCAGCCCTCCTAGCTCTGCTTCCTCCCGCCCTGACTGAGAATAATAGATGGTAACAGCTACTGTTGATTAACTGCCTACCCTGCGCCAGGAACTGTGCTGAGTGCATATTTATTTCTATTTCCCTCAGCCTTAGGAAAGAAGTTACTTATGTGCCCATTTCACAGCTTTCTCACTCCCCCATCCTGCTGCCCCGGGCTGGGTCCTCCTCTGCCCCTTGCTCTCGCTGCCTCGGGGTCCCTCTACACAGGGTTGGTGTCCCCCCACTGGGTGGGGGGCTCACCGAGGGGGGCAGGGGGGATGAAGTAACAGGCCTGGAGCCCCAGCTGGTGTTCTGGCCCCACTGCCCAGCACTCCACAACGGCTGGTTCCCCTGCCGTGCCAATGGGGAGATGCAGCTGCCCAGAGGCAAAGCGCCTTGCCCAAGGTCACACAGCCAGCAAGGTCTGGACTTGAACTCAGGTCTGTGAGGCATAAAGCCTCTGAAATGGGAGTCATTTCTCCCCACCTTGCCCCCACATCCGAGTGCCCACACCAGCATTCCTGCACTCACACCTGGGGTGCCTGGGGTGGGGGTGTGTAGGGGGAGTGGCAGCTGGAGGACAACCATCCCCTGAGCTGGAGCGTCCCCTCCATCACCCCCGGTGGCTGCACAGCACTCAGACTGCCAGGCGATCCACCCTAAGAGAAGAGCCCGCTGCCCGAGGGAGGCAGGTCCCTGCAGAACCACCTCCTCTCCAAACACAGCTTAATCCCTTAAAAGGAATGCTTCATGAGCTATGTAATTTGGCTTCGATGGGTGGCTTTTCTCCGTGAACGCCAGGGCTGATATCACCCTGTGCCTCTGCCATGGGGACAGGAGGGGTATGTAGGCATAGGGAGGGGCCCCAGGGGTCTGGGTTCTGTTCCCAGAGCCAGGGCAATGCCCTCGAAGGTCTTTAGAAGAACTCGAGTTTCCCAACCCCCAGTTCAAGCCTTGGTCTTGAGACCGGTGCTCTCCATGGTGGCACACGGGCAACTGGGGGTGCCAGCCTCTTGGGGAACCTGATCGCCAGAGCTCTGCCCAAGGAGACCCAACTGATCCACCAACTCTATGGAGAAAGTCTGTTATTTGCTCATATCCCTCCTTGAAAAGACTACGAGGGCCCAAGTGGAAGCAAGCAGAGGTTAAAATGTGAAACCCAGAGTCGTATTTCTGGGTTTGAATCCTGGCCTCACCGCTCACGTTTGTGTAATCCCAGGGACATTATTTAACCTCTCTGGGCCTCAGTATTGTCAGAATCGAATGGGATCATTTCTGAAAAACACATAGAAAGCCCTTACCAGGTACCAGATGTGTTCTGTTTGTTATATTGAAAAGACCATACATGGGTCCAGCCCAGAGAACTCCAGCCCAAGGCATTAAGTCCCTGCCAGGAGGAAGGACTTCCCAGGTGGTGCCAATGGTAAAGAACCTGCCTGCCAATGCAGGAGGCATAAGAGACATAGGTTCGATCCCAGGGTCAGAAAGATCCCCTGGGGAGGGCATGGCAACCCACTCCAGTATTCTTGCCTGGAGAATCCCATGGGCAGAGGAGCCTGGTGGGCTACACAGTCCATAAGGTCGCAAACAGCTGGACACGACTAAAGCGATTTAGCACGCATTCAAGCAGGAAGGAGCCTGGGAAGGAGGGAAGGGCCCTGCTGGAGGGTGGGGTGGAGCAGCTTCATGGATAGGAGTGCAGCATGGAGCTGGAAAGAGCTGCAGGAGCCCAGGGTGAGATGCCATCACCAGTGCAGGGGTAGGGTTCTAGGCAAAGAGAAGAGACTGGCAGGGTGGCCCTCCATCCTTGGCCCTCTGAGGCATGCAGAGAAAACAGAGACCATTGAGGAAGAGCAGGAAGAAGAGGGGAAGGGTTGGCGAGGGGACCCACAGGAGTCCCACAAGGGGCCCTGGAGCAGTGACAATTCTTTCACTTGCAGGCTGTGTTTCCTTGGGCAAGCCACTTACTCACTCTGTGCTTCAGATTCCAACTCCAATTCTGCTCCTGCTCCAATGGTAGCCTTGACTTCATGCCAGTCAAGAGACTAGTACAACTGCAGCCGTGAAGGAGAAGGATGAACAGAAGCAGCATCAGGAAAGGAGGCCAAGGGGTGGTGGGAGGGCCATGCTGACAACAGCAGAGGCTGCAGGCTGGGCCCTCAATTGCAGATACCAGAGAGGGTGGAGATGGGACAAGCAGAAGGATTGCCAGCGGCGCCTAAGGAGGCTGTAGGGAAGGAACCCAGCGGGGTGGGCACAGTGTCTTCCCTTGACCTGTGTAGCCTCTGGAAGTCCCCGGGGCCATCCCCCTGCCTGCACACACAAAACAGCCTTTCCTGATGGAGAGACCCTGAGGCTCCTGGGCAAAGCCAAGTTGGGGCTGGAGGCAGAGGATCTGACACCACCCCCTTCCTGAGGAATAGGACCTGCAAGCACCAGAGGCATCCCTCTGCACACTCACCTGCCTGGGCTGTGGGCCCATGGGTTGGCACATGCAGCCCCCCAGATAGTCAGCCTCCCTCCTCTGGAGGGCCCCAGCCCAGCCCAGGCTGCTCCGTCCCCCACAACAGAAAGCACATCTCTCTCCACCCTCGTCTGGGCCTGCTTTTGAGCCAGAAGGCCCATGACCCTGGAGTTGGGTCAAAGTGAGTTCTGTGCTTCTGAGCCTCAGTTTCCTGATCTGCAAAATGGGAAGCAAGTAGACCAGGGGCTTGCTCTCTGAGGCCCCTCCTAGAGCTGCTGCCTAGATCAAAGGGCAGGGGGTCAGCCAGGATAAGCAGAAAGAGGAATGAGAGGGGAGTGCTTGGCAGCCTTGACAGGTTGAAAGCAGTAAAGCTGGCACCTCACAGGGTACTGGGATTTCCGGCCCTCCCTCGCCTTTGTTCCTAGAGGGAGGAGCCTTTAAGCATGGAAGGTTCTGGGTGGGGGGTGAGTTCCCATCCCCACCCACTGAGACAACAAGCAACTCCCCCAAGTAGGGGGAGGAGGCTTCCCTAAATCCCCTGCAACCAAAAATGCCCTCTGACTAGACTGGCTGGCCAAATGCATACCGTCTCCCAGCAGGCAGGTACTGAAGCATAGGGTATCAAAATAAGACTACGGGAAGGACTTTCTGGTCTAAAGGGTTTGGTGTTGCTTATGGGTGGAGGAGGGAGCCTTACATCTCTTGTCTCACCCTACCCTCAGTATAAACATGGGGCTCCTACTTGTCCAAACGCAGGGCAGGTGGAGTGAACCGAAACCTCCCACCACCCCCACCAATCCCTCACACATGCGAGTAGGACAGAAACCCTCTTGACCGCATCCCTACTGAACCTGTTTGGCTGCGACGACTGCACACTATTGGCTTAAAGTCGACTTCAAGCAGAATTTACCAGTACAAATGGGAGTTAAGGAGGGGAATGACAGCCCACAAATGTCATTGTTCAGTGTTCCCACAGATGTCGTCTCCTGCAAATGTCAAAGGGGCCTCCCCCAGGGCATCAGAGATCTCAGGGAAACCCGGGGCTGTGGGTAGGGCAAACAGAGAGGGGGAGAGGCCACCTGGCACCCAGGTTCGGGGGTAACAGGAACACGAAGGTCCAGAGTAGGCAGCCTCCATCAGATGCGCCTCTAGAGAAGCTGGGCCACGGACAGCTGTGTGAGCCTGGACAAGTCACCTCACTGCCCTGGGTCCCCATCTCCTCCTCCATAAATGAAGCGTATAGACCAGCCGATCCAAAAGGCTCCTGTCTGTGGTTCTGGCTCTTTCGGGCTGTGATCCTGGGAGCTGGTGCCAGCAGTGGATGGAAAGACTTTCAGCTACACACTGTGGTCATAGGGAACATCATTGAGCTGGTTGTCACAACACTCTCATGACAACAGCCTGCCCCATTCAGGAGCCCAGCCCCAGCCACCCATCTTGCCTCAGTGGCCCTAGCCACATCCCAAGAGGCATGCAGATGACTCTCAGTCTGACATTGAGGGTGGTAGATGAGGACAAATGAGAAGCATATACCCCAAGGGTCAGATATTGGAGGTAAGAGGGGAGGCTTCCTACAGGGGGTGCTGGGAGCACATGGTGGAGGGGGGGATGGTAGGAAGGAGAATGATGCTCAAGAGAGAGGCTGGACCTGGAGAGGACAGGCGGGGTGCAGAAGAGGGAGGGGGACTCCCAAGTTCCGCTGGGCTGAACTGGTTGGAGGGAATAAGAGGACCCAAGAGGGACTCTGCCCACCTGCTTGTTGGTGGCTGGGGTGGAAGCCGTGCAAATCCCTGCAGAAGTCTGAGCTTGAGGGTGTGAGGGATGCAGAGTTTCAGAGAAGCCCTGGGCCCAGAGCCCTCCCAGGCTTTGTCCTCAAGGCAAGTCCGGCCCCAACTAGAGGTAGAAGCCAGCCCAGCAAGGGCAACTGGGCCCGCAGAGAACTTGCAGCAGACCAGAGGCTTATAGGGCAGTGGCTCAAAGATTCTAAACCTCAAAGTGCTTGCATTCAACCCTTAGGCCTGCTGCTTGCTGACTGTGTGACCTTGGGAGGATAATTTCCCCTTCCTGAGCCCTGTCTCGTCGTCTGTAGAGTGCAGCTGATAACAATACCTTCCCCGGAGGGTTGTTTGGGAGTTTGAGTTAAAGATTCCAGCTCATAGAACAAGGCCTCATGCACAGCAGGGACCACAGGAGCATTTGCTACGTGTTGCTCCAAAGCACCTCCCCAGGTTTTTCTCTCTGCAGGCCGGCAGGGCAAGTGACATCATCCCTGACTTCCAGCTGGGGAAACTGAGGCTTGGACAGACCCCAAGTCCAGGGATGTTAGGAGGATTAGCATTTAAAAACTAACCAGGCCCTACCCTGCTGTTTCCAAAGCCAGATGAGACCAGACTTGTCGAGGTGGGCGGCAGATAGGCCTCTTGACACCCCACGTTCCCTGGGGTCTCCCACCCAAGCCCCAGGTGGCCTGGAGAACCTGTCACATATGGGCACATTCACCGCTTGGTCCCTTTTCCTTCATCTTGCTGGTCCTGACCCTCCTGTAGGAAACCTTGGCTAATTGGCTGTGCCTCTATGGGATTCTCGGATTCCCCCCGTTATCGCACCATCTGCAGTTGAACAATCAGTAACTGGAGATGCCACCTGAAGGTGCTGAGTGAGGGCCCCAGGCTGGTGCCTCTGAGTAGATGAGCTGCCACGTCCCAGAGAGGCCCCCGGGGGGGGCAGGTGACACTGGCTGGGCCACACCTGGCCCTCTTACCACCACCCTCCCGCTCTCCCAGGTGCAAGCCCTGGAGCAGCGCAACCAGCTGCTGGAGACCCGCTGGCACTTCCTGCAGAGCCAGGACTCGACCACCTTTGACCTTGGGCACCTCTACAAGGAGTACCAAGGCCGGCTGCAGGAGGAGCTGCGCAAAGTGAGCAAGGAGCGGGGCCAGCTCGAGGCCAACCTGCTGCAGGTGCTGGAGAAGGTGGAGGAGTTCCGGATCAGGTAGGGGCGCCCTATGAGGGCCGAGGGTGGGGACCAACCTTCACGCGGGAGGGCAAGGTCCAGGGGCCCAGGCCAGAAAAAGAGGAAACTTCTTTGAAAAACCAGTCTTTGGTCCATACTTACTTACTAAAGAGCTGCAACATGCCAGCGGTATTCTAAATACTGGGAAGACAAGACGGTGAATCTACAGCTACATCCCAAGCAGTGCCCCTTATAAGAAAGCCAGTCTCATGCTGGCTGACAGCTACGCTGCACTTGCTAGCCTCTGGGCATCACAGGCCCATCCCCTACCCCATACCCTTGCGCCCAAGTCCATGGGAAATTGTGTCACTAGCGAGAGCAATAGATGGGCTCCTGCTTTGGCTATAGCTTGAGATTTTGATCTCTCTTGAGCTGAAAAGGGAAGAGGGTAGGGGAAGGCAGGGGGCAGAAATGATGAGGTTTGTTTGCATAAAGAAGCAACCACCTAGAAGTAAGACACACCTGACCTCGATGGCAGACTTGGGGTCTAGAGAGACAAGGAAAACAGACTGGGGTGGGGGGGACAAGCAGCTGGCAGGCAGTACAGTCCAGTGGTTAAGGGTCTGAGCTTGGGTATGACTGTGTCCCATGGAAGGGGGTTACTCCTTGCCCATACCACTCACCATCTCTGTGACCTCGGGCAAGTTGCTTCACACACGAACCTCAGTGTCCTCCTGTGTGGAGTGGGAATGGTGATGGTTGATACCAAGCTAAGGCTGGTGTGAGGAGGAAGCCAAGAGTTTGGCATGGCTACCAGAGGTTAAAAATGGGTACTCTTCTGCCCCCCAAAGAAGGCTCCATGACCAGCACACAGCAGTTTGCTGAACTGAATTGGCCAGTCTAGAAAGGCAAACCAGTTAACTTCAGTAGCTCAGAGGAGAGGTGACCTTCTCTGACCAGACAGTGGTCAGGGCTTCAAGGACAGGGAAGCTGGGCCAGAGCAGAGAGGCTGGTCTCTTTGCTGGAGGCCCCCAGCCAGAGGGAAGGAAGGACAGGGTGCGGTTGAAGCAGCCCCCACCTTCTGCAGGACTTGGGCCAGATCCAAGCCTTGTGATCTGAGGTGAGGCCCAAAGCCTCCCAAGACAGGGCGGAGGCAGCCTGTCAGGAGTCCTGGGCTGTGGCACAGCCTTTGCCCGCGGCCTCTCTGCGTGGCCTCCCCTGCTCAGACCATATGCAGAAGGAATGGTCACACAGGAAGCGTTTCCCTCTCTGGGGACCTCAGGGTTTCCTCATCTGTGGATCTGCTGGGCCCCTCCCTGACCTGGGTCGGGGGGCACTTCTCCCCCTACCCTGTCCTCCCAGGTCCTTGGGAAATACGCAGGGAATTAGACTGCCCATTCTGACGGCGACAAGGGAAATCACACTGGTGCGCCAGAACCCAAGACTCAGTTCACTGATACCTAGCAGGTCCTCCTTGGCCCGCAAAGGATCAGTGAATAGCAGAGCTGGGTGGGGACTTGGATTCTCCTTTTATGGAGACAGAAACAGAGGCCCAGAGAGGGTGGGGGCGTGTCCTTAGTCACACAGCCACGAGAACAAAGTCCCATCCCTCACCTGGCAAGCTACTGTGTGACACTGGTCCCATGAGAGCAGCCAGATGGCATCCATGGAGGCACTTTGTAACTGGAAGTTCTATACAAACACTACTTGTTGTTTTAATCTGGCTCAGCCCCCTCATTTGGCCTGCTGCCTGGTTTCCATCTGCTGCCTGATTTTACTGTTTAGGCTCAGGGCCTCTCTTCCCCCTCTCTGGGTAGGGAGCCCACTGAATTGGGGGAGGTGAGGCTAGAGGGTTTCTGGGTCTGCAGGCCAGAGCCAGGAAAGCTGCAGCCTGGCTGTGCAAAGCCTGGGGCCCCCAGGAGCCAGGAGACTCCAGGCCAAGCCCTGACAGGGAGGGGTGTACTTTGCCTCTACAAGGCTGATGAGATCAGCTTCACTCCTAGAAATAAACAAGTTTGGGGGGGTGGAGAGGGTACGGGTGTAACCAGCTGAAAAGGGCTGAGAATGGGTTTGGGAGCTGGCGGCTAGCATACGGGCAGGGGATTGGAAGTGAATGGGGGATATGGCATTGCATAAGCCTCTATAGGAATGAAGACTTCTAGAAGCTCTGATGTAGCAAGGACCCCAAGGGTAGCTGGCTAACCCCTCTGTTTACTTGCAGAGGCCCAGAAAGGGGAAGCAACTTGCCCAAGGCCACATAGCGAGTGATTCAGAAATGTTATGTACAATTGTGCAAGCTGTCTGGGGATGAACTGGGATTGAAATGCAGTGGAGTCGATGAGAAGGGAGGTGGGAAAGCTGAGAAGGGCAGTGAGGGGTAAGGGGAGGTTTGGTACCTCAGAGGGCTCCCACGGACAGCTCTCTCCAATGCCCTTTTCCCAGGCAGGCAGAACTCTGTTATCCAGAGGAGAGGGGAGAGGCTGGACACAGGGCTTGCTTGGGGAGGGCCAATTTGGACTTCTCAGCTTGGGGCTCCCCAGACCCCTGTTCTCAAGTCAGGAAATTTTTCAGAGGCCCCCAGATCCCAGGGGGAAACTTGTTCAGGTCAGCCCAGCCCTGAGCATTTGTGAAGACTATAAAGAGACCTGCCCACTCCCTCTGCAGTGAGGATTCCCATGGTTTCTTTCTGGAAATGCTGACAGAGGGGCTGAGCTGGGACATGGTGTTGGTGAAGGTGAAAGTCGTTCAGTTGTGTCCAACTCTTTGCGACCCTATAGACTGGGGCCCACCAGGCTCCTCTGTCCGTGGAATTCTCCAGGCCAGAATACTTAAGTGGGTAGCCATTCCCTTCCCCCAGGAGATCTTCCCAACCCAGGAATCAAACCCAGGTCTCCTGCATTGCAGGCAGATTCTTCTGAGCCACCATGGAAGCCCCAGTGTTGGAAAGGATGGTGATAGTAATAGCAGTAGCCCTAGTGGGTGTCACGCACCTTTGTAAATGCTTTATGTGTTCATTTATTTAATCCTCATGAAATCAACATTATTGTGACAAGGGCACATAAAAGGAGCCTATCCAAGGTCACATAGCTAGTTAACAAGAGAGCCAGAATTTGAGCCCAAATAGTCTGGCTCTGGAACCCCATTCTTAATCAGCACATGACTCAAGCTTCCAAGCCTCTCTCTGAGCCTCCATCTCCTCATCTGTGAAACAAGACCAAGAGAACATCCCTGGCTGGGAGCTCTGAGGGTCACAGGCGAGGCATTTTGTTTGCCTTGGCAGGCTCCAGATTGCAGACCAGTCTCCCTGACCCACCCCACCACCCTGTCCCCATGGCCTCTACCCTCAGGGACCCTCAAAGACTCTGGAAGCCCAGGCAGTGGCCAGGGAGAGTGTGGACCCTCCACATACTGAATGTCAGGGACCTGAGTGCTCTGCAGGCTCTCGGCCTCTGGGGTCTGCTCCCCTTAGTCCCTCTGGGAAGCTAGTGAAAGAGAAGGCCTGGGGGTGGCAGGTCCAGCTACCTGACCTGGGTGATGGCTGATGCTGCCCCTTCTGTGAGGTCAGGGGCTGGGGCAGGCAGGCGGCTGTAATTAGAGCCGCCAATGATTCAGGCATTCCCTAGAGAGGAGGGAAGGCAACAGGAAGCCACAGAATCCCCATGTCAGCTGGGGCAGGCAGAGCTGGGATGGGAAGCATGCAGCTGGCATCCTGGGGGCCCAGAGGGTAAGGTCAAGGATCCAGGGATCCCATCTCCCCACCCAGCAGTGTACTGGTTCTGAACACAAGGTGGACTCGACACATCTCATCACATGTGTAAGGAGACACATCTGAGAAGACAGGGAACACAACTTTGGAGTGCTGGTGAATTTCAGCCCCCATGACGCAAGCACCCATGCACGTGCGCACGTGCACACCCCAATAGACAAGGGAGGGGAGGAGTTTCCTGCCCTGAAACATATGGGGGGGCCCACCTGACTGCAAAACCCATGCCCTTCCTGTCCTCTCTCCAGAGGGAAGATGGCATGGTGTCCTGCTGTTTAGCAAAGCAGTGGGAGAAGCGTGGGGCTTCGGGGAAGGGTGGAGTGAGGAGAGGATGACATGTGAACAAGATGCTTGGAGCAGACACCAGAAAAGGCACAGCTTGTTTGAAATTGAGACTCTCGGGGGAGGAGATGGGATAAAGATTAGGGAACAAAACGTCAGGGTAAAGCGACTGTGCAATCAGGAGAGGCTTCCTGGAGGAAATGAATGTGGAGCAGAGCCAGGAAAGGGGCAGATGTGCCTGGGAGAGGAATGGCTGGTTATCAGGAAGGAGTAAGCATGGGGAGCAGGATGCCTGCTTCCCCAGAGCCAACACTAGGGTATCCCGGAGGAGAGGGGACATGTCATAGAGACACAGCGCTGCATCCTCCTCAGGGAAGGGACCACTTTTTTCTAACTGCCACAAGGCACCAAAGGGATTGCAGAGGCCCCAAGCCCCACCCAAGGAGGGTTAAGCAAACCATTGCCAAGTCCACCACATCCATCTGAGCAGTCTCTCCGTGTGTGTGTGTGTGTGTGTGTCCCTGCCTCCCCTTCTCCTTCCTCCCCACCTCCCAGGTATGAGGACGAGATCTCCAAGCGCACGGACATGGAGTTCACCTTCGTCCAGCTGAAGAAGGTAGCCTCCCCAGCCCACCCCATGGGCTCCTTCCTCAGGGACTCTCTGCCCTCTTTTGTTCAGGATCCCCAAACAGAGGCCCCACAGGCTGAGTCCCAAGACCACAGGCAGAGAGCTAAACACATGTCCCCACCCTCCTCCAAGGCTCTGACCCAGGTCTCCTCTGGGACTCTCCCCCATCGTATTCAGGAAGCAAGTCCCCCCTTACCGTACCCCTGCCCTGGGACCCCTCCATTCCTTTTCCCATCATTCACCACTGCTCCCACCCCCAGGACCTGGATGCAGAATGTCTTCGACGGACGGAACTGGAGACCAAGTTAAAAGGCCTGCAGAGCTTTGTGGAGCTGATGAAAAGCATCTATGAGCAGGTGAGAAGATGGGGCCAGGGTCCCGCTGAGCCAAAAGCCAACTGGTCCCCAGGTAAGGGATGCAGGGGAGGCAAAGGTATCCAGTGGGTCATGGAAACTTCAGCAGGCGCTCACAGTTGCTGGCCACAGATGCAACAATTTCCTAAACCCCTTGTGTGCTGCAGTCAATAACCCAACGTGTCCCCTTGTCACTCATCTCATGGAGCATGGCAGGTTCCCACAAAGCCTCTCTCAGGGAGGGCCCCACTTTCACGTGTTGGGGAGCACTGAGGGTGTGAAGGGGCCCAGGTACATTCAGGGAAGGGTCAGGAGGTGGCCTTGGAGCAGTGAACCAGGAGGCTTTGAACAGTAGTTCTTATTGAACTAATTTCTCTCTCATCACTGCAGCTTAAATTGCAAACACCCACAGCTCTAGCTCTCATAGGCCTGCAATGCATCCTCCCCCATTTTGGGCTCATACAGGGCCCAAAATTAGAATCTGATTAGACAGATTCTCTGCTAATCAGACAATACGAACTTCTTCCAGACAAAAAATGACTCAGGAAGGACTTCCCTGGTGGTCCAGAGGTTAAGACTCCTTGTTTTCACTGCAGGGGCCATGAGTTCAATCCCTAGTCAAGGAACTTAAGATCCCACAAGCCATATGGTATGGCCAAAAACAAACAAACAAAAAATCCCAGTCGCAGTAAATGCAGACAGAGGAGCCCCCGGACACATTCTCATTTGTCCCTAGGCCCTCACGGTCCCTGGGGGGGACAGTAGCCCAGCATGGCTTGTCCCATAGCCAGTGCCACTGGCAGATGAATTCTGGACTCTGCCCCTTGGCACCGTCTGCCTCCTGGGCTTCCTTTGGGATGTGTGTTCTCCTCTCTACATTCCCCATCTTCTCGGGGGTGAGGAGGCTAATGGGGTGATCCTTCGATTCAGCTACAAGCAGGCAGGACCATTACTGACAGTGACAGGGCGCAGCAGCCTGTGTGCTGTAAGCCCCTGGTGCCAGGCTGTGGCAACGCAGCCCCAGGCAGAGCAGGGGTCAAAGTCACACTGCAGCCAGGAAGATCTGCAGGGGGCCCGAGGGGCTGCTGACCAGGGCCTCAGGGCCTCGCCCTGTGGAGAGGGAGATTGGGCCTCGAGGCTACGCATGGACCTGAGACCTCTGTGCAGCCGTGGGAGGGAGCAGGATAGAGGGAACCTCCCAACACTTGCCCGCATTAGGGAGGCAGCCCTCACGCGCAGACCACCCTGAAACACATCTTGCCCCCGGCAGGGTCCTCCACAGCTGGCCCAAGCCCTGAGGGGCTCACCAGGGCCCCGTGCCCACTGAGTGGCTTGGGAAGTGGCTGAGAGCTTCCTCTGCCTACACTCACCAGGGCTGGTACCACCCAGCAGACGTCAGCAGGGCCACAGTTTCAGGGCCTCCAGTCCATCCTGCTCGCCAACATCTCAAGGAGCCCAGGGCCAGGCGGAGGCCCTACAGGTGTAGAGACATAGCTGAGGAAGGCTGGGCATAGCCAGCCATGTACCTGAGCATTGAGGAGACACACCTGCTGAACTTCTGGGCCACGCCCCACAGCCAGGCTGCTGACTCCATTTGGACTTGGCAGCCCTTGGGCCCCAATCCTGACTCTACCTTTTTTTTTCCACCATTTCTGTGACTTGGGGCAAGTTATTTCTCCTCTCTGTGCCTCACTTTCCTCATCTGTTAAATGGGAAGAGTGATAGTAGCAGGTTCATCATGCTGTGATGGGGCAAATCACTTAACAAATGTTTATGGCATGCCTGCTAGGTGGCAGGCACTGACCTCACAGCTGTGAGCCAGGCAGGCCAGTTTCCTGCCTTCAGTAGAGCACAATTTAGCTAAGAGGGCACAGGTGATAGGCTAATAAACACATCTGGACAAGATCATTTTGGAGGGGAAAAGTTGCTGGTATGCAAAGAAACTGGGCTATGCCTTAGTGCTAGAGGGGCTGGGGGCCGTATGTCTCTGAGGAGGCCCGAGAGTGAAGCCCCAACCTGGAAAGATTCAACTCAGCAGAGACTTGAAAAGGCTTCAGCAGAAGGAAGGACTGTGTGAAACACCTGAGACGGGAATGATGTGATCTGGGAGGGAGAGAAAGTGGCAGCTGTGGCTAAGACAGAGTGGGCAAGGGCCAGGTCGTGCAGGGCCAGAGGCCCAGGATGGGGTGTGGACATTATGCTAAGCAGGATGGGCAGCCCTTGGTGGAGACGGAGGCAGGGTGCTGTTGGAGGGCTGCTGTGGAGAAGGGGCCACAGTGGATGCAAGAATGCATGATTACATATGTGTGTACATGTGCAGTGACAGTCGTGTCCGACTCTTTGTGACCCCAGTGACTGTAGTCCGCTAGGCTCCGCTGTCCATGGGATTCTCCAGGCAAGAATACTGGAGTGGGTTGCTGGGCCCTCCTCCAGGGGATCTTCCTGACCCAATTATTAATATTAATATAATATAATAATAAGTTAATTAAAATAATAAATATGACTATATAGTATATACTGTATAAAATAATATTTTATTATTATTACACATTACATAATGCATATATATATACTATTATATATAATAATAGTTATTATTGTTTTGGAAGACAGCGAGGTGGCAAGTTGGTGTTGGGACATGAGGTTTGAGTTTCCTTCCATGTACCTCTGCAGGCTGAGAGGGCAACATTGACCCACAAAGATTCCCCATACCAATGGGTCTCTAAGCTGGCCTGCCTAGTAGAATATAATGCAAGCTACATAGGTAATTGTAAGTTTTCCAGGAGCCACACTTTTTTTTAAAGTGAAGAAACAAAAAAAATAATTTTAATATATTCTGTTAGGCCAGTATATCAAAATATGATTATTCAACAAGTAATCATTATAAAAAATGAATGGACTATTTCACACACATTTTCCCATTGTAAGTCTTCAAAATCTGGGGTGTATTTTACACCTCCGGCTCATCACAGTTCTGACTGGCCACATTTCAAGTGCTCACAACCACACAGGGCTAGTGGCTTCCACATCGGACAGAGCAGGTCCAAGTAAAGAAAGTTGCCAGCCTTGCCACCGCAGGTGGAAGAAAAACATGGTGAGATGTGAGTAGCCCCAGGAGGGCCAGGCACTAGTCTCAACTTTGGAGTAGATACCAAAAACGCATTACTGTATAGCCCGCCCCAGGGTCCCAGGAAACAGCCCTCCCCTCTCCCCAAGACACACATACACACACTCAGGTCAGGATATTTATGGAAAGCCTTTCCCAGAAGCCAATGGCTATAGGCTGCTCAGGGCCTCATCTACACATTGCAACCACTTGGGCAATACGCCTTCCCCTCACCTCCAGGGATGCCGACTGGTGACAGCACCCTGGGGCTCCCACTCCCCCACAGCTTCCAGGATTCACCCCAGCTCCCAAGTGCACTGGGACCCGGCTGCATCCAGCCAGCAAGCCACCTGCCCCACCTGCAAACTGGTTCCAGGGAGATTAGCGATGGAATCTACTGACAAGCCCCTGCAGCCAGCACACCTCCCGGGATGCTGAGCCCTACAAAAAGGACCTGGCATGTCTAAGTGCCAGCTTTCATGATGCCCCAGGAGGCCACTCCAGGAACAGGCTGCTCAAGCCCTGGACACTTCCTCCCAGCTCCATCACGTTTTCCAATCATACCAATAGTTTCCCAGCTGTTGTTTATTGAGCACCTACTATATTCCAGGCACCAGGCTGAGCGCTCTCCAGATGTAATCTCATTTAATCTTTCCAATAAACCTATAATGTAGGGAAAATTATTAAGAGAGCACAGACTTTGGAGCAGCTTGGATTTGAATCCTGGCTCCATGATTATATGGACTTGAGCCGGTTCCTTTATTTCTCAATGCCTCAATTTCCTCATCTGTAAAATGGGGAGGACAATAGTACCTAGCTCACTGGCCTGTTGTGAGGATTTATTTTGCTAGTATATCCTAAAGCACTTAGAACAGTGTCTGGCACATGGTGAGTATTTAATATCAGCTGATTTCAACTCCATAATCATATCCATTTTTTAAATGAGAAAACTGAGGCTCAGCTAAGTTTGAAGACTTGGCCAGGGTTAACCCAGCTAATAAGAGGTGACATTATTCAGAGCCCAGTGCCGCTGAACACTATATTTTACTGGGCAGTACTGTTACCCCTCAGTCACCATATTCCCTGACCTGGGGGGTCATGATGACAATAGTCACACATATGGCGGCCTCCTCAGACTCTGGCTCCTAAGAAAAGCTCTAAACTTGAATCAGCTTGATTCTTGCCAGCTTGGCGATGCACATCCTCTCCAGCTCCCCCCACCCCCACCCCGCTATGGTGGCAATACACAAGTCAGCATTGTTATCCCTCTGCAGCCCGGCAGGGTCAGCGTGTCTGAACAGGTCTGCAGATGATCCAAGCCCTCCACTTCCTGCTTCTGTTTACCATGCTCGTGCTTACACTGGCTCTTTCCAGAAAGTACCTGAGGCTGCCCCATCAGCTGGGTTTCGCCCGTCCTTTTGCTGCAATAGTGCACTGTACTCTGACAGTGCCCTGGCCTTCTCCTTGCCCATAACAAATGCCACCTTAAGCCTGGGGAAGAAGTGTCCCTGGAGAACTTTGTCTGAAACACCCCCATGCCTGCCAACCCCCAGCACATGGTGACCGAGAAGGCCCCAAGCTGTATCTCTGAGACTGGTTTGCCGCCAAGCCCCAGCTGGAATGTCAGTTCCATCTGGAAAATGTCAATCTCCAGTGAGGACCCAGGGAGCAGAGGTGGAGCATGAGTCTGTATTCTGGCAGGGGCTGGGGCGGCCCCCTGCTCTTGCTCAGAGATCTGTTAGATGTGTTTGAAGATCGACCAAAAGCCTTCATCAGGAGACCTGCTAAAGGACAGCTGGCCACTGAACTCAGGGTCCCACCAGCTCCAGGGTGGAGACGGGTGGCCCACCACTGCTCAAGCTTCCTTTTCCAGGAGGTGATCCCGATCACCAGGGATGCTAGTGGGCAGGGTCAGGTGGCAAGCAGACAGGGAAAGGGTGGTCTTCCTCTGCAGGCCTCGCAGCTGCCCACCCCTGCAGTCTCCAGCCACAGGGACACAAGCCACAGGTCAGAAGTAGCAGCCTCTGCAGGCCTAGACTCCAAAGGTTCAGCCACAGCCTCTTGGAGCAAAAGGACGGATGAGGGTCAGGAGCTGGCCCAGAGTCAGAAACCAAGATGGAATGCAGTCATGAGCCAAAAACAGAACCTGGATCTGAGCAGGCCTCCTGATCCAATTGCCCCCTTTCAGGAAATACAGAAGCCAGAGCAGCAGGCTGAACACCAGTACGCGGGGCAATCGGGAAGATTCAGACCATAGTCAAACAACCTGAGGTTCTCAGTAAGAAAAAGACGGGGGGGAAATAAAAGAGACAGAGAGATGAAGAGAGTATCTACAGAATGAGAGAGATGGACCGATGGCGGTGCAGAAATCGTGTTTGGATCCTGAATCAAACAAAAAAAGGTTTTTTTTTAGTTTTCTTTAATTTTATATATTTTTTTTAATTTTATATAGGGCTTCCCTAGTGGCTCAGTGGTAAAGAATCTACCTGCAATGCAGGAGACCCAGGGAAGATCCCCTGGAGAAGGGCATGGCAACCCACTCCAGTATACTTGCCTGGAGAGTTCCATGGACAGAAGAGCTTGGTGGGCTACAGTCCATGGGGCAGCAAAGAGTCAAACAGGACTGAGCGACTAACACACACACACACATATACACGTGTGTAAAATGGAACACGGACCAAATCTTGATGACTGAAGTAAGGGTCGAGGATGAACTGCAAACACCAGCAGTAGTAACTACGCCATCTGAATCCCGCCCCTCCCTCCCCCAGCTGAGCTCCCTGGGTGCCTGGCCCCTCTCTCTGCCTGTCAGGCTCCTCAGTCACCTGACTCACTCTGTACAATGCTGGCCACAGACACTCTGCTTACACCCACTCACCCCTCCTTTCCACACGGGGCCCCGCCCAGGCCGGAGCTGCTGATCAGCACCTCCAGGAGAAGCAGCCCAGGGCCCTGGAGGTGACACCTTGCAGCCCTTCCGAAGACCCCTGTCCTCACTGGCTTTGCTACACACCTCTGAGCCTTCACTCTGGAAAGCTATCAGACTGCAGGGCATGACAGAAGCAGATGTGGGCTTCAGCTCCCATCCCTGCCCCTCTAAGGGAGCTTAGCAGGAGCAGCAAAGCTCTGGGTCCAGCCCCGCCCTCACAGCTCTTTCCATCAACTCTGGGTGCCGCAGCTTCTTCCCTGTCTGTAATCTGGGGCTGACCATCGTGCCAGCCTGGTGAGGATGAGACGCGGATATGCCTGGAAAGCACTTAGCACACACACCGCCTGGTATCTCAGGAGCCCCCAGGGAAATGGGACGTTTTACCACTTCCAGGGGTCTCTGAGGACACAGGCTGGCATTTTCTAGGCAAAGAGGAGGACAGAGAGGAGGGGAAAGAAGGATCCCAAAGGACAGCAAGAAGATAAGATACTGAAGTTGAATACTGTCGTTGCAGCTGGGCAAGCCCTTCAGCTAGACAGGGAGGGGCAGTGAGTCTCCAGGGTGACCGGGAAGTCACCTGGGCCTCCGCTACTGGCAGGAGAGCAGGGCTGCATGATCGTCAGCCTCTGGTCCCCTCCTGCCCTCATCACTCACAGGCTTCCATTCCCACATGCATTCAGCAGAGACACTCCTCTGCCCAATGCGGAGGCCTGGAGGTGAAAATGCCTCAGCCAGGCCCTCGAGGAGCTCCCGTCCTGGGAGGGCTGGGGTGGGGGAGGCCGAGCTGCACAGCGCTGAGCCTAATGATAGAATGCCCTCAGGCCTGGACGTCCTGGGCCCTTTCCTCCTCTGCCAGGAGGAAAGAGGCCCACCCTGGGAGCATACAACAGTGTATGTGTTGCGGGGGGCGGGCAGGGGGCGGATGGAGGGAACTGAAAAGGAATAAGGCTTGCAGGTGGGCCTCCAGAGCCGAGGGTCCCTCCCTGCCAAATCAGAGAGGAAAACCAACAGGTGGGTGAGTTGGGAGTTGGGGGGACTGCTTCTCAACAGTGCAAGCTCCTGCAGAGGCAGGACAGGGGGACGTTTGTCCTCTGATCATCCCTCCAGGGAGACAGAGAGAAACCTGCCCTCCACCCACCAGGGAACAAAGAGACTATGAGGACTATGGCTGAGGGTCTGGGCCCCCCCACCAGCCCTGAGCCCCCATGTCTGTGCCCCATCAGGAGCTGAAGGACCTGGCAGCCCAGTTGAAGGATGTGTCGGTGACCGTGGGTATGGACAGCCGCTGCCACATCGACCTGAGCGGCATCGTGGAGGAAGTGAAGGCCCAATATGATGCCATCGCGGCTCGCAGCCTGGAGGAGGCCGAGGCGTACTCCCGGAGCCAGGTTCGGGGCTGGCAGGCAGGCTGGGGGGATGCAACCAGGGCAAGATGGGCAGCAGCAGAGATGGCTAAGGCCGCCTGCAGCTCTGGGTGCTGAGAGGCCAGGAGAGATGAATGGGGAGACACGGGGGCGATGGAGCCCACAGCAGTGAGTTCACAGGCAGGGACGGAGAATGTGAGAGCCCAGTGATGTGCCAGGCCACAGGGGTGATGGGGACAGGGGCAAGCCATGGTCTGCACCCTACAGAGGCTCATGGTGGTGGTTGCACCCAGTGACTCCAGTTCAGGTGTGGGCACAGCCCGTGGGGCTCAGTCTAGGGCGGCCAAGAGAGGGATCCTGAGACAGACATGGTGGGGGCAGGAGCCAGGAAGTGGGGGAGACGCTGGCCTGGGAGTGGTGAGCCACAGAGGAGGGGATGAAGCCAAGGGTAAGGAAGAAGGAGGAGCCAGGGGTCCTGGGGGGACACAGTGAGCTCCCCTGACTGCCACCCACTCCTTGGCCTCCAGCTGGAGGAACGGGCCGCCTGCTCGGCCGAGTTTGGGAACAGCCTCCAGAGCAGCCGCAGTGAGATCGCTGACCTCAACGTGCGCATCCAGAAGCTCCGATCACAGATCCTCTCCATCAAGAGCCACGTGAGTGTCCGGAGGACCCACCTGGGCTGGAGCAGGGCGAAGTGCGGGACACATGCTCTCTCATACCCTTCACACACACACATACACACAAGCTCACACAGACTGTGTCCATGTGAGCCCTGGCGTTGTGACCCTGGACAGGTCACTTAGCATCCCTGTGCCTCAATTTCCTCATCTGTCCTTAGACGGCTCTGAGGGCCACATGAACTTGGCCAGTAAAAGTGCTCTGTAAGCTGGCCAGGGCTGTTGGAACATTGGAGGGTCCCCTACACACACACCTAGAGCCCACCCCCTCCCCCCAGGTCTCCCACCAACTCTATGGAGAGAAGCGAAGGGAAGCATAAGCCCCAGCTTCCACACAGGATGAGCCTTCAGAGAAGTGCCATCCTGGAAGGACAGCTGAGACAGTCTCCTTCAGAGCCCTGCCATATTTGGTAGCCTTGGGAAAGTGTCTCCTTAGGTCTAACTGAACGGCCTCTTGCTGCGACACACTCCATTACTGTGCTCTGGGACGCCATGCCAAGTCCTCCCTCCCCACGCACACTCCCACCAAGGACGGACATGGACTCCTGGCCCTGACCCGCTCTCTCCCTCCCTCCTTGCTCACTGACCCCCCTTTCTCTCTGTCCTCCTGAACTTTCAGTGCCTGAAACTGGAGGAGAATATCAAGGTGGCTGAGGAACAGGGTGAGCTGGCCTTTCAGGATGCCAAGGCCAAGTTAGCCCAGCTGGAGGAGGCCCTGCAGCAGGCCAAGAAGGACATGGCACGGCAGCTGCGTGAATACCAGGAGCTCATGAACACCAAGCTGGCCCTGGACATCGAGATCGCCACCTACCGCAAGCTGATGGAAGGCGAGGAGAGCCGGTGAGGAGCAGGGCCAGTGGGGTGAGCCTGGGAGAGGGGGAGGACTGGAAGCCCCACAGGAAGCCAGTACCACCCCCTCTCCCCCTGCATGATACTGTGAGCCTAGCAGGCCTGGGTTCGTGTCCTGGCTCAGCCACTTACAAACTGGAACTTCAGTCCAGTTTACTCAATTCTCAGTTTTCCTATCTAGAAAATGGACTGATCATAAGTATGCCTCACCTGTGCATACAATCCCGTGTGCAAATACCTGCCACCAATCAGTGCTCAGCAAATGATAGCCATTCATGCAGGGGAGAGGGGACAGAGCTGGCTAGCCAAAGTCACACAGCAGGGCAGCCCAGAGCTGGGAGGCACAGTCAAGAATTGGCCTCCGCCTGCCAATCCCCAGGCCTCCAATCCCAGGGGAACTGAGCCACAGGTTCCCTTCACATCCCACCATCTCTTCCTCCCGCAGGATGGACATGCCCTCAGCCACCGTGGTCAGCGCAGTGCAGGCCAGATACAGAACAGGTGAGCCTGCTTGCCCCAAGAACCCAGGTGGGAGGAGGACAGTGGGGGGGATCATGGCCCAAAAGGCATGATATTAAATGCCTCCCAAACCTCCAGCCCCTACCCTGCCCCACCCCTTATGTTCCCTGTAGCTGTCTCCAAGTCCGGCCTCTCAAGAGCTCCCTCTCGGAAAAAGAAGAACAGGAAAGGCCCTGTGATCAAAATCACCGAAATGTCAGAAAAGTTCCTCTCGCAAGAGTCAGAGGTTTCAGAGTAAGGCCGCTGTACTCTGAGCTCCTTACTCAGGAGCCCCAGGTCACTCCCCTGCAGCAGCAAGGACATAAACTAGATTCAAGAAAGCAGTTTGGAGCCTCTAGGTTGGGAAGGGAGGCAAACCTGATCCTGAATGGAGAAGAGAGTTGAAAACAGTGACTGCTTTTTTGCGGGAATGGGACAGGACTGTCACCAGCTACTCAAAGTCACTCGGCTCCATATCAATATCTCACAATCCACCCTTCCAATATCTGGCCAGAGGTCTTCCTGCCGCGGTAAATTGGAACTGGGGTTTTGCCTCCACCTCTCTGCTCCTCGCACAACAGGGGGCTCTAACCAAGCTGCTTTTGACCCTTCGCCCAACCCTTGCCCTAAACTCACATCCCAAGTCTTGCCTTGCCTCTGACTAGGAACCAAAGTGAGTGCTGTCACTCCCCTAGCCCCAGCTAGCCTCAAACCAGGGGCTGACAGGGACTACGTGGGCACCCTCCAGTATCCAGAGTTCCTGGGGAGGCACCTGGCTTTCCTGCACCAGCTGGGGTTCCCGGAGACCTGACAGTATTAGGGAGTGAGGGGAGGAGGCTCCCTGGGTGTTTGGGACCTAAGCCCAGAACTCTGAGATCAGCCCAGACACCCATGCCCCTCCCCTCCTCCTGTGAGTCCCTCCCAGCAGGTCACGGTCAGAACTGGACAGCTGT